AGGAAATGTATAAAGTAAAGATGTGCTCTGTTGTATTCCTTTTGGAAGTGAGAAGCATGCGTTTTGTAGATGGCAATTGCCCTTTGCAAAGCGAAGACCCCAGTGCCTTAGGCTGGCGGCAATGGACTGTGTGATTCTGGGAACAAAATTCAATACTGCTAATGAAGATCCAACTTTTGACGTCAGCTGGCTTTGGAGAGGAAGTGTGTGTTGCATTTGGTCACATCGACTGGGAAAGGCTTCCGTTTGCTGGAAAAAGAACCAAGGGAAATATCTTTGAGTCCCAAAGGTCAACTTTTCACATTATACTCAGAAAGTCTTCGTTTTTCTCCTCCTGCTCTGTAGACTTGTTCACTTGTTCCACCCCTTTTTACGTATTGCTCTGATGTATGCTTTGTCATCCTACTTTTTTAAAGATAATGATAAACATTCAGGCATAAATCACAGGAAAGAATGCTTCTCTGGAGCTCATGTTCTCCGCTTTGAGCATATCCGATCCTGGAAGTATCTTCATATTCAGTTGTCAGGCTTAGGGAGTTTCTGGTTTGATTTTCTTGTCTCCTTCCATGTTATTTGGAAATGCATCCAAACCAGGACCATGGTTGGATTTGTGACCATTTTGCTTTAGAGTTGAATCAGATGTTTCCAGAGTGGTTTTCTTGTTCTGTATTGAGGGAAGAGAGATAGTGAGCTGCTTAATATCTAAGTAGTTTGCTTGGTAGTTAGCAAAGTTTCTCCATTTAAAGATAATAGTCTTGTTTACTTTGACAAAGGATGCTTTTGTATTGCACCTGTCAGCCATAAAGAAGGATGGCCTGTACTGGGAGGACTGCAATAACACTGTGTACAAAATTTGGAGAGAGAAAAATCTGTTCCTGGTTTGAAAATGTTCTTTCCTGTTTAATTGGTACTTACTTTGAAAGTAGTTGTTTTACTTTTTGGCTGCCATTTTTAACCTTTATGTAGAGCGCAAAAATAGTGTTTTTTTGCAGTTTAGTGGTGAATGAATTAGAACCAGACATCCTGAGGAGTGAGGTTGAATGGGCCTTAAGAAGCATTGCTAACAACAAGGCAGCAGGAGACGACGGGATCCCAGCTGAACTGTTTAAAATCTTAAAAGATGATGCTGTCAAGGTGATGCCTGCCATATGCCAGCAAATATGGAAAACACAAGAATGGCCATCAGACTGGAAAAAATCAACTTATATCCCCATACCAAAAAAGGGAAATGCGAAAGACTGCTCCAACTTCCGTACAGTGGCCCTTATTTCTCATGCCAGTAAGGTAATGCTCAAGATCCTGCAAGGAAGACTCCAGCAAGACATGGAGCGAGAGTTGCCAGATGTTCAAGCTGGGTTTAGAAAAGGCAGAGGAACGAGAGACCAGATTGCCAATATCCGCTGGATAATGGAGAAAGGCAGGGAGTTTCAGAAAAACATCTACTTCTGCTTCATTGACTATTCTAAAGCCTTTGACTGTGTGGATCATAATAAATGGTGGCAAGTTCTTGGTGGGATGGGCATCCCAAGCCCCCTCCTCTCTCTCCTGAGGAATCTGTACAAGGACCAAGTAGCAACAGTTAGAACTGACCACGGAACAACAGACTGGTTCAAGATTGGGAAAGGCGTACGGCAAGGCTGCATACTCTCACCCAACCTTTTTAACTTGTATGCAGAACACATCATGCGATGTGCGGGGCTTGATGAATGCAAAGCTGGGGTGAAAATTGCTGGAAGAAACATTAACAACCTCAGATATGCAGATGACACCACTCTGATGGCAGAAAGCGAGGAGGAGCTGAGGAGCCTTCTAATCAAGGTGAAAGAAGAAAGCGCAAAAGCCGGGTTGCAGCTAAACGTCAAAAAAACCAAGATTATGGCAACAAGAATGATTGACAACTGGAAAATAGAGGGAGAAAAGTGGAGGCCGTGACAGACTTTGTATTTCTAGGTGCAAAGATTACTGCAGATGCAGACTGTGGCCAGGAAATCAGAAGACGCTTACTTCTTGGGAGGAGAGCAATGTCCAGTCTCGATAAAATAGTAAAGAGTAGAGACATCAGACTGGCAACAAAAATCCGCCTAGTCAAAGCCATGGTATTCCCTGTAGTAACCTACGGATGTGAGAGCTGGACCTTAGGGAAGGCTGAGCGAAGGAAGATCGATGCTTTTGAGCTGTGGTGCTGGAGGAAAGTGCTGAGAGTGCCTTGGACTGCGAGAAGATCCAACCAGTCCATCCTCCAGGAAATAAAGCCCGACTGCTCATTGGAGGGAAGGATACTAGAGACAAAGTTGAAGTACTTTGGCCACATCATGAGGAGACAGCAAAGCCTGGAGAAGACAATTATGCTGGGGAAGGTGGAAGGCAAAAGGAAGAGGGGCCGACCAAGGGCAAGATGGATGGATGGCATCCTTGAAGTGACTGGACTGACCTTGAAGGAGCTGGGGGTGGTGACGGCCGACAGGGAGCTCTGGCGTGGGCTGGTCCATGAGGTCACGAAGAGTCGGAGACGACTGAATGAATGAACAACAACAAACTTTCCTCATGTTTATATGATATAACCAATTAGAAAATGACCTTTATAACCCAGGAACAACAATTGTGTTATATCATGAAGCATCATTATCTGGAGTAATATGAAATGTGGAGGTTACGCTAATACTTAAATGAAGAAAATCTTGATGAAGGGATGCCAGAATAGTAATGTGATCTCACAGAGAATATATTCGTTCATGCAACTCTCTGCTTGCAGTGGCTGAATCGACTTATTGATGGAGATGAAAATAGGGTGCCCTTGCAATGAACTTGACTTTGAAACCTCTTGGCTTTCGCCGACTGTCATTTGGGGCCAATGAGAATGATCTGAAAAGGGCACTGGGCACATGGATATTTGGACAAAATAATATCATCAAAAAGATAGAGTAAAAGTTGAAGACCAGCAAGTTTGCCAAATTCTTCAATTTTGTTCAGCCAATTTTTAATGTTCTCCCGTGGATTCTCTATTATACCGATTATATCATCTGCGTACGCTCTGGCTTTGTTTACCAATTTTTACACCTTTAATTGTTTCATCTTCTTTTATACTCTTTAGCAAAATTTCCAAAGACATTATAAAGATCAAAGGGGAGATATGGCATCCTTGCCTGGAGCCTTTTCCTATCACGAATTCCTCTGAAGTTTGTTCATTTATTTGGATTTTGGCCTTTTGATTTTTGTAGATGTCTTCAATTGCGTTAATGAAATGAAAGCCTAAATCCATTTCTTTCATCAAAATTTTGTAAAAGTCCCAGTTCAAATTATCAAAGGCCTTCTCTGCATCAATGGCAAGGAAGGCCGCCTCTTTTTGAGGGTTAGCTTCATAATATTCAATCATGTCTATTACAATTCTCACATTGTCTTTTGCATTTCTTTTTGGTAAGAAGCCCACCTGCTCTTCCCCTATCCAATTACTTAAAAATTCCTTTAGTCTTTGAGCCAGTATGTTTGTAAAAAGTTCAAAAGTGAAATGGGCCTATAATTGTGTACATCTGATTTTCTGTCTGTTCCTTATGGATCACTATTATTTCTGCTAAGTTCCATGTTTCCGGGATTCCTTGGTTTTGGAATATTCCATTCATTACTCTTTTTAGCATTGGCATAAGTTCCTTTTTAAAGATCTTGTAGTACCCAGCCGTAAATCCATCAGGGCCAGGCGCTTTATTTGCATCCATCTTTCCTATTACGTTTTCGATCTCTTCTTCCGTTATTTCTCTATTAAAATTTTCCCTTTGCACATCTGAGATTTTAGGCAGTTTAAACTTGTTTAAGTATTCAACTATGTCCTGTTTTGGAATTTTGTCATTTTTGTATAGTTTTTCATAGTATTCTTTAAATTCTGTTAAAATTTCTCTATCTGTCGTTATCTCTTCATTTTCCTTCATAACTTTAGCTATTCGTTGTGCTTGTTTCTTTTTCCGAACTTGTTTTTGCCTGATTTATTTGCGTTTTAAAAATGTTGTTGTTTTAAATTTTTTAACTGTTTTGCTTGTTCCTCTACTTCCATATGATTTCTTTTCTGATGTAACAGTTCAATTTCTTTAAGTAGGGCTTTGTTTTTTGGATTTATCTTTAATTCAATTTTTTTATTCTTAGTTTATTTTGAATTTCCTTTATGTCTTTTTGTCTATGTTTGATATTTCTAGCATTATGTTGGATTAAATGACCTCTCATTACTGCCTTTGATGCGTCCCATATCGTATTATGGTGCATCTCCGGGGTATCGTTTATTTCTATATATATATATCTAGTTATGTCCTCTTCTTTTTTTTTATTAAGTTCTCATTTAGTCTCCATCTTCCCCGTGGTTTCCTCTGATTAATGATTTCCAAAGGGGCATGGTCAGAAATGTCTCTTGGATTACGAATCGGAACAGGACCTCTTCAAATCTTTACTAATCAAAGCGGGAACCATCCAAATCTCCAAAACGAATTACTAATCGGATTTCAGCTGTTTAGCACACTTCTATCAAGCAGAAAGTGCTGCAGTCTGAAGTGAAACAGAGGTTGGATACTTTCCTCCCTGAGCTCAGAAAGTTACTTTTCAAAAAGTACCCATTACAGTGCTCCATGCAGTCATGCCGGCCACATGACCTTGGAGGTGTCTACGGACAGCGCTGGCTCTTCGGCTTAGAAATGGAGATGAGCACCACACCCCAGAGTCAGACATGACTGGACTTAATGTCAGGGGACTACCTTTACCTTTACCCATTACAATGTTTTAAAAAGTAACCAATTGTTATTACTCATTGCAATAATTACAAGAAGTCTGGAACTGTGTTTAGAACCTCATATGACCTGAAAGGCTCACATAGTGAGTATTGCAGTGTGTGACTTATGTGTGACTTTGAGGACATAATAGAAACTGTTGAAAATGATTTGTGTCTTCCTTTTCTCAGAATTTGGAGGTGGGTCCATTTTCCTTCAAATAATAACAATGTGCCTTCTTTTTTTTGTGCTCTGCAGGCCATGGCAACCATAAAGAAAGCAGTCCTTTCCTTAACAATGCTGACAGCGGCAAAGGAGACTACTATGACAGAAATCTGGCATTATTTGAGGTAATTAAAATGCATATATTCTTGATTTTCAGCATCTGTTGGCTCGTGATCTACGGATTAGAGTATGGACCATAATAAATATTGTTGTTGTTATTTACATGAGCATAAATGTCTACTAAATGAATGTTCCTGTCTTCTTTCGGTGCTTCTGAGATGCTCAGTAGAGGCATTCATAAGCCCGATGGCAAATAGACCACCCAAAACTCTAGTTACCATTCATGCAAACTCTAGTTATCATTTGTGTAAACTCCAGCCGCCATTTGTGCAAACTCTAGCCACCATTCATGCAAACTCTAGTTACCAATTGTGTAAATTCTAGTTACCAATTGTGCCAACTTTAGTTACCATTTGTGCAAACTCTAGCCACCATTCATGCAAGCTCTAGCCACGATTTGTGCAAACTCTAGTTATGAATTGTGTAAACTCTAGTTACCATTTGTGCAAACTTTAGTTATCATTTGTGCAAAATCTAGCCACCATTCATGCAAACTCTAGCCACCATTTGTGCAAACTCTAGTTGCCAATTGTGTAAACTCTAGTTACCATTTGTGCAAACTAGTTACCAATTATGCAAACTTTAGCCACCATTTGTGCAAACTCTAGCCACCATTGTGCAAGCTCCAGCCACCATTTGTGCAAACTCTAGTCACCATTTGTGCAAACTCCAGCCACCATTCATGCAAACTCTAGCCACCATTTATGCAAACTCTAGTTACCAATTGTGTAAACACTAGTTATCATTTGTGCAAACTTTAGTTACCATTTGTGCAAACTCTAGCCATCATTCATACAAACTCTAGTTACCAATTGTGTAAACTCTAGTCACCATTTGTGCACATTCTAGTTACCAATTGTGCAAACTCTAGCAACCATTCGTGCAAACTCTAGTTACCATTCATGCAAACTAGTTACCATTTGTACAAACTCTAGCCACCATTTGTACAACTCTAGCCACCATTCGTACAACTCTAGCCACCATTTGTACAAACTCTAGCCACCATTCGTACAACTCTAGCCACCATTTGTGCAAACTCTAGTGAAAAAGTAACAGACAAATTTTTGATTATCTAAATTGTCCTTCACCATTGTTCATCCGGGCTGTTAGGAGAGAGTTATAGTCCCACAACATCTGAAGGGTCACATATTCCTAACTCATTTAATTGACGAACGTATAAGCAAAAGGAGAGTGGATCTTTCCTGAATCCGATTTTACAGTGTGATATCGCTTTCCAACCATAGTAGGGAAATAAGCTTAGGTTAATTTGCACTAGGGTTTTCCCAGATTTCTCCTACTCGTTTTGATGTCTATGATGCTAAAAGTGACACCTTTCAAAATATATACAACTTTGGTTTAGTGGCTGAGATTGATGATTGAGCAAAGGGGCAAAACAAGCAAGCCAGCAATAAATACCCTTAAAGAGAGGCAACGTTCCCACCTCGAGATGCCTTTGTCATGTATTGGAATGAGCTTTTTTCGATTCAGAACACTCAGGGTTGCATCACAGAGGAGAATGGCCTCTCCATGTTAGCTTAGAACAAGAGAGAAAAAGTACATCAGCCATGGAAAATATGGCCAGGTCCAGCACTAAGTTATGGAGAGATGGGTCTTCACAGGTTTGTGACTTTGGGAAGGAGGGATTGATTGAGGGATAGGATGGATCTTCTGGAACATTAAATGTTTCCGTTGACTTTGCCTTCTTGGGCGATGGCACATTGTCAGTGGTGGAGTGTCTGCCTTGAAGTCAGAAGGTCTTTGGTTCGACTTCCAGCAGCTCTGGCTTTGAAAAACCAAGTACAAGGAGATAGACCTCGAGGGAGGAGAAAGACCTGAAACCCAAGGTGCACCTACACTGTAGGAATACTTACTTTACTTTACTTAGGCGATCCCTCGTTGTCTTGAGTATGGTGGCACTCCAAGTGTAGTGTCTTGGCAGTGAATACATAGGTGACTGTGGAGCCCTATTCTTGATCCACATGTTCTTCCACATTGAGGGCATCGGTCTCCAGGTTGAAGGCAGTCCTGGTCAAGGTTGGCTTGACACACTTTCCTCTTGGTACGTTTCTCCCTTTTGCTCTCCATTTGTGCCTCTTCAAATTCCACAGCACTGCTGGTCACAGCTGACCTCCAGTTAGAACGCTCAAGGGCCAGGGCTTCCCAGTGATCTATCAGTGTCTATGCCACAGTTTTTAAGCTTAACGTTAAGCCCATCTTTAAATCTCTTTTCCTGTACACCAACATTCCATTTTCCGTTTTTGAGTTGGAAGTATTGTAACTGCTTTGGGCGATTATGATCAGGCATTTGGACAACGTAGCCTTCAACCTAATGGAGTTGATGCCTTAGGGGCATCGCTTCAGTGCTGGTGGTCTTTGCTTCTTCCAGCACGCTGTCATTTGTCCGCCTGTCTTCCCAAGAAACTTGTAGGATTTTTCAGAGGCAATGGTGATGGAATTGTTCCAGGACTTGAGTGTGACATCTGTAGACAGTCTATGTTTTGCAGGCATATAATAGGTTTGGGAGGACAGTAGCACCAGCACCAGCAGAGAAAGCTAAGAACCTTGGTCTCCATACGAATGGCTTGATCCTCCAAACACTCTCTGCTTCATTTGGAAAAATGCTGCACTCGCAGAGCTCAGATGGTGTTGTATTTCATAGAATCATAGAGTTGGAAGAGACCTCATGGGGCATCCAGTCCAACCCCCTGCCAAGAAGCAGGAATATTGCATTCAAAGCACCCCTGACAGATGGCCATCCAGCCTCTGTTTAAAAGCTTCCAAAGAAGGAGCCTCCACCACACTCCAGGGCAGAGAGTTCCACTGCTGAACAGCTCTCACAGTCAAGAAGTTCTTCCTAATGTTCAGATGGAATCTCCTTTCTTGTAGTTTGAAGCTATTGTTCCACGTCCTAGTCTCCAGGGAAGCAGAAAACAAGCTTGCTCCCTCCTCCCTGTGACTTCATCAATGTCAGTGTCAATGTTGATTTTCATGGTGGCTGCCACGGTAGCGGACATGGTCATCATTTTCTAATGTTCCACCATGAATCTGTATTTCTGACATTGCAGAGGGATTGGCTGGTGACTCCTGGAAAAGCACTTTGGTTTTCTTGATGTTCAATAAGAGGCGGAGCTTCTCGTTTGCTTCTGCAAAGGTGTTTAGAGTGGCTTGTAGGTCTTATTCTGAACGTGCAGAGACTACGTTATCATTAGCATAGTGGAGTTCTATAATAGATGTTGTTATGACCTTGGTTTTGGTTTTAAGTTTGCTGAAGTTCAATAGCTTGCCATCTGTCTGATAGATGATTTCAACTCTGGTGGGTAGCTTCCCATCAACAAGATGAAGTATCATAGCGAAGAAGATGGAAAATAAGGTTGGGGCAATAACACATCCCTGTTTGATACCTGTGTAAATGGGTCACTGTAGAAATAATGCAGTATGGCACCACTTTATCAGCAGTGGGAATTGTGGTTGATGAGGCACCAGCAGAGAAGGCAAACAACCTTGCAAAATGACAACTCCAGGATTCCGTAGCATTGAGCCGTAGCAGTTAAGGTGGCATCAAAGTGCATTAATTCCACAGTGTAGATGCCCTTGAAGTGCAGCATTTTTCCAAATGAAGCAGAGAGTGTTTGAGGACTGGGACATCCGTAGCAAGACCAAGGTGCTTGTTTATAAAGCTATTGTCCTCCCAACCCTGCTATATGTCTGCGAGATGTGGACTGTCTACAGATGTCACATACGACTCCTGGAATGATTCCATCAGTGTTGCCTCCGGAAAATCCTGCAAATCTCTTAGGAAGACAGGTGGATAAATGTAGTGTGCTGGAAGAAGCAAAGACCCACCAGCATGAATCGATGGTCCTCCGCCATCAACTCCGCTGGACCAGCCATGTTGTCTGGATGCCCAACCACGGTCTCCCAAAGCAGTTGCTCTACTCCGAACTCAATAATGGAAAACGGAATGTGGGAGGACAGGAAAAGAGATTTAAAGATGGGCTCAAAGCCAATCTTAAAAACTCTGGCATAGACACTGAGAAGTGGGAAACCCTGGCCCTTGAGCATTCCGGCTGGAGGTCAGCTGTGGCCAGCAGTGCTGCATAAGTTGAAGAGGCACGAATGGAGGGCAAAAGAGAAAAATATGCCAAGAGGAAGGCACATCAAGCCAACCCCAACCGAGACCACCTTCCACCTGGAAGCCAGGCCCTCACTGTGGAAAAAGATGCAGATCAAAAATAGGGCTCCACGGTCACCTACGGACACACCAGAATACTTATCCTGGAAGACTATCCTACTCGGCCAACAAGGGATTGCCTAAGTAAGTAAGTAAGCCCCTGAAGTTCAGAGCTGTTTCTGTCTCTCCACAAAATAGTCCTTCTACCTCTTTGCAGGGTGTTGTGTAAAAAAGGGCGTTAGCAAATAGCTGCTTCAGGAGGTTGCCACGCGAAGCTCCGTTCTGTGCAAATAGTTTCCATAGAGACAGGTCTCAAGATTTCCTGCCATTGACCCATGCAGGTCTCTCTCTAATTTGTTGAAGGTGAAAGAGGATAGGAGGGAAATAGAGAGATGATGAGGAGGAAAAGGCCAAGATCCCTTGCAGGGCAATATCTTTTATTGGTACCAATTAAAATGCTGCATAAGCATAAATAAACTCAGTGTTTTGAATTTTCTCTACTCCGTTTGCTCCTTCGTAAATGTGCCTGGCTGCCATCAGGAATGTGCAAACTTGGCTCAAGCGTTCGGCTCCTTCCTTCTTCTCCTTTGGTTTTGTTTTGACACATCTTGTTGTAATTGCTGGGAAAGGTTAGCTGCCTTGCGCAAGGGAGGCTTGCAGGCTTTCGGCAAATGCAAGCCTGCTTTGAGAGAGAGATGGGGAGAGATACCTTAGCAAAACGCCCTGGCTGAGTCAGAGAATCATACAATCATAGAGTTGGAAGAGACTCCCAAGGCCCATCCAGTCCAACCTCATTCAGCCAGGCACAGTTAAAACCCTCCCGACAGATAGTCATCCACTATCCGCCGGACTCGGAGGCAGCAAAATATTGCACTCTGGAACAGATCTCATTATTTATTTATTTACAGCAGTGCTTCCCAACCTGGGGGTCAGAACCCCTGGAGGGGTCGCCAGGAGGTGCCAGAGGGGTCACCAAAGACCATCAGAAAACACAGCATTTTCTATTGTTCATGGGGGTTCTGTTTGGAAGGTTTGGCCCAATTCTATCATTGGTGGTGTTCAGAATGCTTTTTGATTGTAGGTGAACTATAAATCCCAGCAACTACAACTCCCAAATGTCAAGGCCTATTTTCCCCACACTCCGCCAGTGTTCACATTTAGCATGCTGAGTTTGGTCCAGATCCATCATTGTTTGAGTCCATAGTGCTCTCTGTAGGTGAACTACAACTCCCAAACTCAAGGTCAATGCCCACCAAACCCTTCCAGTGTTTTCTGTTGGTCATGGGAATTCTGTCCCAAGTTTGGTTCTATTCCATTGTTGGTGGAGTTCAGAATACTTTGATTGTAGGTGAACCATAAATCCCAACTACTACAACTCCCAAATTATTCATAACAGGAGCAAAATTACAGTTATGAAGTAGCAAAAGAATGTTATGGTTGGGGGTCACCATAACATGAGGAACTGTATTAAGGGGTCGCGGCATTAGGAAGGTTGAGAAACACTGATTTACAGTATTTATATTCCACCCTTCTCACCCCACAAGGGACTCAGGGCGGATTACAATGTACGCATATATGGCAAACATAAGGGCGCTTTATGCACATGATGTGGGAATGTGAATATGTACAAGATTTTTGGCAGACTATACAAAATGAGTCAAATCAAATACTAGGAAATGAGTGGGTCATAACAAAGGAAATGGCGGTATTAGGGAAAAGAGAGGAAATAAAAGGGAAATAAAAGAAGCAATAATAGAATGTGCACAAGCAGTAATAGTATTAGGGTGGAAAGATAAATCAAAATGGACAGTAAATAAGTGGTACCAATATATGGTGGAGCAAATGGAATTTGAAATTATGAATGTGAAATTAAATGATTTAAAAATCAATGAAAATAGAATGAGAGAAATGGAAGATAGATGGACAAGGGTAAAGAACTATATTACGAATCATTCCGGAGATCAAGATATAAGAAATAAGATACAAATGTTATATAGTATAAAGGATGGAAATGTATAAAGATATAATGATTGTCTCAAAAAGAAATGAATATGTGAAAGAAAATAATCCTCATGTTGGTGGTGGGGATTGTAAATGTTTTGTGTGTGCACAGTATGTATTTTTTGTATTGTAAAATACTAGGACGCGAAACAATGGCTTCAAACTACAAGAAAGGAGATTCCATCTGAACATTAGGAAAAACTTCCTGACTCTGAGAGCCGTTCAGCAGTGGAACTCTCTGCCCCGGAGTGTGGTGGAGGCTCCTTCTTTGGAAGCTTTTAAACAGAGGCTGGATGGCCATCTGTCGGGGGTGCTTTGAATGCAGTGTTTCTGCTTCTTGGGAGGGGGGTTGGACTGGATGGACCATGAGGTCTCTTCCAACTCTATGATTCTATGATTCCTCAGTGTGACATCTGTTCAAATATTCAGACATGGCTCTCATGTCCCCTTCTCTCAGCCTTCTTTTCTCCAAGCCAGACAGCTGCCTCAGCCACTCCTTATGGCTTGGTTTCCAAACCTTTGACTATTTTGGTCACCCTTCTCCAGAGAATCGTGTAATGCAAATGGGCCCATAGGTTTGAAGAGAAGGCAGGATGTGAAAAGAGATGGTGGCGACACCCAACACAGTCATACCTTGAGTTAAGAGTTTAATCCATTCCATGACTGAGCTCTTAACACAAAACACTGCTCTTATGTCAAAGTGAAATCCAGGCCAAGTAAAATGCTCTTAAGTTGGAATGCTCTTAAGTTGAGTTCTACTGTAACGACAGTAGAACTCAACCTGTGGGCCGTGGACCACCAGTGGGCCGCGAGGGCGAAAATCTGGTCTGCGAGCCTCCTTCCTCTTTATTTTATTTTATTTCTGCTCCTTTTGCACTTCCACACCACCTGGCACTCCTTCCCTGTTGCTAACCATGGGATATATTCCGTATCAGAAACTAGAGCTGATGTGGTCTAGCCAATGCAATTTTTTGAACCAGTACCCCAAACTAAATCTAAAGTTGACCAGAAACTGATTCGTAACCCTTTTGTTACTATTGTTGGAGTGTGGTCCCATGTCAAAGTGGTCCCTGGACAAGTGGTACCTGGTCAAGTGGTTCCTGGACAAAAAATGGTTGGGAACCACTGCAGTATACAAAACAGTTGCTTAGAAAGGTCTGAGTATTCAGTAATATTCTTAATTTTCACCTTCAACAATTCATTGGTTTCCTTTGCAGGAGGAGCTGGACATTCGTCCCAAAGTCTCTTCTCTCCTTGGCAAACTGGTCAGCTACACAAATCTCACGCAAGGAGCCAAGGAACACGAAGAAGCAGAAAGTGCTGAAGGGTCAAGGAAGAAAGTATCAAAAGTATGTGGTCAACGGGCAGTTTGGGTGGGATACAACTAGATTGTAAAAATAGTCTCCGTCTCACTCACACAAGCAGCAGAGCCTGAGACACCAAAACAGGAGCTGGTGAATTTGGATGAGCCCGGGCTCAAGTTTAACCTCTTGCCACATCATGGAATAACCACCTCTTTGCTCACACTAAGAAAATTCAATATCTTTTAATTTGGAAGCAGGGGATATTGATTCTGTGACGGGTTTGGCACTAAAGAGGCTGCTCTTTCGGGCAGGAAACCTCTGATGGAGACGGCTGTCAATTTTGTCCCTTGGGCTTTATTTCAGAGGCTGATCATTGTGAATAGTTTGTAATATATTGTATATACTTATAATATTTCTTATATTATAATGTAATTCAATATAATACTACTAATAATATGAAATTATAATTATATATTTATATTACATGTAATATTACTAATAATATTACAATATAATGGTATAGTACAATATAGTAACATTTAATACTGATATTGTACTGTGCTAATAATATAATATATTGTATGTGTGTGTATATATATCTCTATATCCCAGGATCTCATCCTGGATTATCTGATTATTCCAGATTATCTGGCAGTGGAGACTCATATAATCCAATTTAAATCTGGGATCAGTTCCTGGGATATAGAGCAATCTAGAACGGCTTCAGAAACGTACCGAAGAAGATATACAGTGCAACCCCTGTATCCATATTGCTGGCCAGACCACAGTTACCTGAAACCACAGATATGACAGAACACCATCAAAATAACAAGACATCTAACCCCAGCATGCCATCAAGTTGCAATGGAGACACCGGAGCCTGCTAGAGATGTTGGTGCCTCTTCCAATCTGGTTTTAATGCATTCTTTCATCTCTTCCAGTCACCCAGCATGGGCACCTTGATGGGCGTCTACCTGCCGTGCATGCAGAATATTTTTGGGGTCATCCTCTTCCTTCGGTTGACATGGATGGTGGGAACAGCCGGTGTCCTCCAGTCATTCCTGATCGTCTTGATCTGCTGCTGTTGTGTGAGTCTGTCATTCTCCTTATCTGACCACTTAGTGTGCACAAAGGATGCACATTTAGGATTAAAGTATTATAAAGGGTCTCTCTGTGTTGAACCCGGGAATTCCTTTTTATATAGAAAGGAGCCTCCGGTGGCGCAGTGGGTTAAACTGCTGAGCTGCTAAGCTTGTTGACCAAAAGGTCACAGATTCGAATATGAGCTCCCGCTGTCAGCCCCAACTTCTGCCAACCTAGCAGTTCGAAAACATGCAAATGTGAGTAGATCAATAGGTACCACACTGGAAGGTAAGTAATGGCACTCCATGCAGTCATACCAGCCACATGATCTTGGAGGTGTCTATGAACAACGCTGGCTCTTCGGCTTAGAAATGGAGATGAGTACCAATCCCCAGAGTCGGACACGACTGGACTTAATGTCAAACCTTTACCTTTACCGCAGTAGCACAGCAGATTAAACTGCTAGCAGAAGAAAAACTTGCTCACTGGAAGGTCGGCAATTCAAAGCCGTGGATTGGGGTGATCTCCCGGTTGTCAGACCTAGCTCCTGCCAACCTAGCAGTTTGAAACATGTAATGTGAGTAGAGCAATAGGTACCGCTTTGGCGAGAAGGCAAAAGGTGCCCATGCCGCCATGACAGCAAAACTCAATCAAGGAGAGTCTATGGACGACAGGCTCCTCGGCATGGAAAATGGAACAAGAGCACCTCCCCATGGCCAGAGTTGAGCATTGCCTCCAGACGCAGTAGATGGAAAGGGAAACCTTTGCCTTTGTGTATTCTATGTCATTGTTCATTATATAAAAGGCATTGAATATTTGCCTATATATGTGTATACTATAATGCGCTCTGAGTCTCCTTCGGGAGATAGAGCGGAATATAAATGAAGATTATTATTATTATTATTATTATTATTATTATTATTATTATTATTCTCTTACAGCCCTTTCACAGACAAATCAACTCCTGATTTTGTCCTGAGCTTTTTGTTTGTTCAGCAAATTAATTTAAGGAGTAAATTGCCTTTTTCCTGCTGCTTTGGCAAAATGGCAGAGTTGGAAACCTGTGTCTGCCTGTTACAAAACACTTGGAGATCTATCACATGAACCTAATGTCCCTTCTGCTAAGCCGTAGTCTAATGTAGATATTTATTTTCCCTTTCTCTGCCCACACTTTTTTTCCTGTTACATTTCTCATTCTGTTTTAAGCCATGGAGTGTGGGATTTGTCATTTTTGCTCTTAACAGAGCTCTGTAGAAGACCATTTAGCTCGAGAACATGGTTTTAGATAATTGTTTTGGTCCTTCATCAGTTCCTTCCCTTCTGGACTATGGGATACATACCTGATGAGATATCTTGGAGATGGGAGCCAAGTCTGAACGTAACATTCATTTATGTTTCATTTCCATGTAGCCTGAAAGTAATGCCATACAATATTTTTAATGTTGCGTATTGAACAAAGTTTGTGGACGTTAGATCATCGGAAAGCAAAGAGGTCACCAGCTCAGCCACATGAATTACCGGTAGTTTTAAGGTGTCACTACAGTTTTGTTGGTGAGTCCCCGGTAGCGCAGTGGATTAAACCGCTGAGTTGCTGAACTTGCTGATCGAAAGGTCACAGGTTCGAATCCACGGGTTGCAGGTCCAAATCCTTGGAGCAGTGTGAGCTCCTGATGTTAGCCTCAGCTTCTGCCAACCTAGCAATTTAAAAACATGCAAATGTGAGTAGATCAATAGGTACCGCTCCGGTGGGAAGGTAACGGGACTCCATGCAGTCATGTTGACCACATGACCTAGAAGGAATCTGTGGACAACGCTGGCTCTTCAGCTTAGAAATGGTGATGAGCACCAACCTCCAGAGTTGGACACGACTGGACGTAATATCAGGGGGAAACCTTTACCTTTACTTAATAGTTTTGTTACTGTTTTTGGTCTGATGGGATAATTCAGCGAACTTTTCATTTGAGTTTTAGTGCAGGAACCGCAACAATCCTCTTCCTAGTATTAAAGTAAACAGATGTTCTTGAAATTTGGTGCGGGTATTGCAGTACTCATCCAGAACTCTATGTTCATAGTTAAATGACTGTGATCAATTCAGCTTTTCAATTTGTAAAATTATCTTGTTTCCTGTTTACAGACAATGCTGACGGCCATATCAATGAGTGCTATTGCAACCAATGGTGTCGTTCCAGGTACTGTCTAACTTAATTTTCACTTATGCACTTCTTATTCCTTGGCATCCTTGACCCAAGTTGATGGTTCATGTGGTTTGTGGAGAAAATGCTCATCTGTAAATGACAGTTCAGAGTGTTGACTCAGTAAGGTTTGCCTACTAGAAAGCCTTTGGTTTTTGTACTTCAGATGCAGCCAACATATCCAATGGTGAAGCACAATCTGGGAATTTGAGGCCCCATCTACACTGCCATATAATGCAATTCCATAATGTAGTTAAGCTTATTTACATGCCAGTGTAGATGGGACTAAAGCTTGGGGACTGCTTCACTCAAGTGGTCTGACACAGGCTAATGGTCTTGTGCATTTGTATAGAATCACTATCGGTTTTTGTTTGTTTCATTCATTTGTTGTTTATTCATTTAGTCGCTTCCGATTCTTTGTGACCTCATGGACCAATACCTTACAAGTACTCTGATACCTTACAAGTACTCTGGGATATTGTATAGATTGTTTTGTTTTTGTGCTGATACCTTACAAGTACTCTGGGATATTGTATAGTACCTCATGGACCAACCCACACCAGAGTTCCCTGTCAGCCGTGACCACCCACAATTCCTTCAAGGTCAAGCCAGTCAAGGATGCCATCCATCCATCTTGCCCTTGGTCGGCCTCTCTTTCTTTTTCTTTCCATTTTCTCCAGCATCTTCTCCAAGCTTTCCTGTCTTCTCATTTGTGGCCAAAGTAATTCATCTTTGCCTCTAATATCCTTCCCCCAAGTGAGCAGTTGGGCTTTATTTCCTGAAGTATGGACCAAAAACGGGCACCTTTCCAAATGAACTTTTTCATCCCAGGTCCAAAAAAACAAATATTTTTGTCTCATTGGTGGCAATGGGCAGGTTTCCCAATCTCCCCTTCCCCTCAGCTTTAGGCACCGGCAGGCATGGGTACTTTTTGGACCTGCACATCACACACACATACACACACTTTCCAAGGAAAGTGTGTTTGTGGCTTGCAGGCCCAAAGCACCTGTACCTACCAGGGCCTGCAGCCGAGCGCCTAGTGCCATGTAAGAGGTGCTCACCACTTGGCTGCAGGCCCTGGCAGGCGCAGGTGCTTTGGGCCTGCAAGCCACACATGCACTCTCTTTTCAAGGAGAGTACATGTCTGGCTTGCAGGCCCAAAGCACTCACGCCTGCCAGGCCTAGTGCCAAGAAAGAGGCGCTCACTGCTTGGCTGCAGGTCCTAGCAGGCATGGGCGCTTTGGGTCTGCAAGCCACACATGCACTCTCTTTCCAAGGAGAGTACATGTGTGGCTTGCAGACCCAAAGTGCCCATGCCTGCCAGGGCTTGCAACCGAGTGCCTAGTGCCAAGAAAGAGGCACTTGCTGCTTGGCTGCAGGCCCTGGCAGGCATGGGCACTTTGGGTCTGCAAGCCACACATGCACTCTCTTTCCAAGGAAAGTATATGTGTGGCTTGCAGGCCCAAAGCGCTCACGCCTGCCAGGTATTGAACTGCAATTATTCAGCACTGTTGATGCACTGTAGTATAGAAAGATAACTGAGTCCCAGAGCCATCTGGATAGCACCTCAGTAATGATTTAGAACAAATTTAGGAGAAGAATTCCTGAAAAACATCTTCCTCTTCCCCCTCTCCTTGGAAAGAGAGTGCATGTGTGGCTTGCAGGCCCAAAGTGCCCACACCTGCCAGGGCTTGCAGCCGAGCACCTAGTGCCAAGTAAGCGGTGCTTGCTACTTGGGTGCAGGCACTGGCAGGCACGGGCAGTTTGGGTCTGCAAGCCACACATGCACTCTCTTTCCAAAGAAAGTACATGTTTGGCTTGCAGGCCCAAAGCACCCATGCCTGCCAGGGCCTACAGCCGAGCGCCTAGTGCCAAGTAAGAGACGTTTGTTGCTTCGCTGCAGGTCTTGACAAGCATGGGCGCTTTGGGTCTGCAAGCTACACATGCACTCTCTTTCCAAGGAGAGTACATGTCTGGCTTGCAAGTCCAAAGTGCCCATGCCTTCCAGGGCCTGCAGCTGAGCACAGAGTGCCAAGTAAGAGGCGCTCGCCACTTGGCCACAGGCCCTGGCAAGTGTGGGCACTTTGGGCCTGGAAGCCGCACATACAACACTCTCTTTCCAAGGAGAGTACATGTGTGGCTTGCAAGCCCAAAGCACCCATGCCTGCCAGAACCTGCAGCCAAGTGGTGAGCGCCTCTTACTTGGCACTCTGCGCTCAGCTGCAGGCCCTGGCAGGCCCGGGCACTTTGGGCCTGCAAGCCACATATGCACTCTCTTTCCAAGGAAAGTACATGTCTGGCTTGCAGTCCTGAAGCGTCCGTGCCTGCCAGGGCCTGCAGCCGTGCGCCAAAAACAAGGCGACCAAACGGTTACTGTTCCCACTTTCCTTTTGTTTCACTGATATTTACATACCAGGGGGGGATGTAGCATTTCATGCCATCCAAATGAAACAAAACAGTATGAAAACACAAATTAAATGGCTGAAATGGTTCCTGGGCCCATAACTACAGGCTAATTGACTGTAACACTTCATTTTAAAAAAACTGTACAAGTGTACAATTGAAGATTTAATCACAGCTTTTCCAAAATCTTGACTTTTCCACAAGTCTCAGAGAGTTAAGGGGATAGATAGCACTTACAGACAAGGCATGAGATATACAAAAGGACACTTTCAAAACATCACAGTAAAATATATCTTCCCAGGACCAGGATTTCCTTTTCTGAAAGAGTTTCTCCCTTGCAGGGCAGCTCCTCTGAGCTAGAAGAGAAGCTCATGTTGTCTCAGCAACTTCTTGAGCTTTTCCATTTCCTGCTCCTTCTCTGCGCAGTTTCTTTCCAGCTCTTGGACCTTTGCAAGGAGCTCCAGGTTGGCTTTTTTCAGCCTGGACATGCGCTGATGAGACCGCAGCTTCATGGACAGCATGACAGCACTGATAATCCTGGCCACTCGCCAGATTCGGAAAAGGACCAGCAGCCCAAGCGCTTCGAATTGGTGGTTATGGAACTCTACAACGATATCGAAGGTGAAGGAGATGACGATGACGAAGGCGTCGAAGACTTCAAATTTATGTCTCAAGAACTCTAGGTGAAAGGCGAAAATTTTGATGCTGACTTCCACCATAAAGATGATTAAAATGGAAAGGCTCACGTAGTGGAAGACCTTGTGTGTGACGTTGTGTCGGTGAGGATCGACGAACTTTAATTCCAAAATCAGTTCCCCGAGGACTATTGAAGCATCTATGAGAACGAGGATGACGACCAGGATCTGGAATTTGTGTGACCGAAACAGTTTTTTCATTGATTCCTTGAGCCCGTATTCCTCTTTGATGACTATGTCAGGCATCTTTTCCTCTGCATCTTCTGGCTCCTCTTTCTCCCATTTCTCATAGTCACGATGCAACTGGTTGAGGTCGTCCCCTATGACGGTGAAATGCTGAAGGAAGGACAACATGGTGAAAGGCGCTTTTCAGGCGGTGATCCAGAACCAACTGCTTATTCAGATGTGGAACACCTTTGGTTCACTACTTGTTGTGGATGGCCTGGTGGCTTCTGCCTCCTCACCTTCTTTGAAAAGTAGTTCCCATGGAATGGCTCTGGTTTAGGTATTCTTTTGTGGGGGGAAAATGGAAATTTGTAATTCTCTGGACATATTCCCTCTTGCCAGCCAACCTGAGCCCGGAATTCAACATTCTTTTTCAGTTGCTTCCATAGAATCCCCATTGTTCACTCTCAGGTTGGTTTTCCCAGCCTGTGATACTCTTTCCTCCTAAAAATCTTCATAATCTTCACATAGGAAAGACTGTGCCAACACCAAGCATCAAGTAGCTGCACACAATAACGGAAGGTAACGTCGCTCCATGCAGTCATGCTGGCCACATGACCTTGGAGGTGTCTATGGATAACACCAGCTCTTTGGCTTAGAAATGGAGTTGAGCACCAACCTCAGAGTCGGACACAGCTGGAATGTCAGGGGAAAACCTTTATTTATTTGTTTATTATTTATTTACAGTATTTACATACCGCTTTTCTCACCCCTAGGGGGATTCAAAGCAATTTACACATAGATAATGGCAAGTCTTCCTGCAAGGAAGACTCCAGAAAGACATGGAGCGAGAGTTGCCAGATGTTCAAGCTGGGTTTAGAAAAGGCAGAGGAACGAGAGACCAGATTGCCAATATCCGCTGGATAATGGAGAAAGGCAGGGAGTTTCAGAAAAACATCTATTTCTGCTTCATTGACTACTCTAAAGCCTTTGACTGTGTGGATCATAATAAATTGTGGCAGGTTCTTGGTGGGATGGGCATCCCAAACCCCCTTGTCTCTCTCCTGAGGAATCTGTACAAGGACCAAGTAGCAACAGTCAGAACTGACCACGGAACAACAGACTGGTTCAAGACTGGGAAAGGCGTACGGCAAGGCTGCATACTCTCACCCAACCTTTTAAACTTGTATGCAGAACACATCATGCGATGTGGGAATGCAAAGCTGGGGTGAAAATTGCTGGAAGAAACATTAACAACCTCAGATATGCAGATGACACCACTCTGATGGCCGAAAGCGAGGAGGAGCTGAGGAGCCTTCTAATCAAGGTGAAAGAAGAAAGCGCAAAAGCTGGGTTGCAGCTAAACATCAAAAAAACCCAAGATTATGGCAACAAGAATGATTGACAACTGGGAAATAGAGGGAGAAAATGTGGAGGCCGTGACAGACTTTGTATTTCTAGGTGCAAAGATTACTGCAGATGCAGACTGTGGCCAGGAAATCAGAAGACACTTACTTCTTGGGAGGAGAGCAATGTCCAGTCTCGATAAAATAGTAAAGAGTAGAGACATCAGACTGGCAACAAAGATCCGCCTAGTCAAAGCCATGGTATTCCCTGTAGTAACCTACGGATGTGAGAGCTGGACCTTAGGGAAGGCTGAGCGAAGGAAGATCGATGCTTTTGAGCTGGGGTGTTGGAGGAAAGTTCTGAGAGTGCCTTGGACTGCGAGAAGATCCAACCAGTCCATCCTCCAGGAAATAAAGCCCGACTGCTCACTGGAGGGAAGGATACTAGAGACAAAGTTGAAGTACTTTGGCCACATCATGAGGAGACAGCAAAGCCTGGAGAAGACAATTATGCTGGGGAAGGTGGAAGGTAAAAGGAAGAGGGGCCGACCAAGGGCAAGATGGATGGATGGCATCCTTGAAGTGACTGGACTGACCTTGAAGGAGCTGGGGGTGGTGACGGCCGACAGGGAGCTCTGGCGTGGGCTGTTCCATGAGGTCACGAAGAGTCGGAGATGACTGAACGAATGAACAACAACACAATGGCAAAAAATGGATGCCTTACAACTACAATAGTAAAGCTACACTTTAAACATAAATCATATTAAAACAGTACATTACCAAATATCAAAACAGTTATTAAAACTATAAAATAATCTCATCAGTCGAGTCGCCGTTCCTAGAACCATAATTTTATCTTTTTCTAAAGGTCAGGAGCCTTAAGTCTTTACCTTTACCTTAAGTCTATATAAAAATATAGAATGAACCATACTACTTAAATTAGTTTGTGGTATGTAGCTACTCTTCATGATTTGCTAAAAAAGTTTCAACCCCTGTGCTGTCACACCCAGACACTATAAAATTAAAACTAAGATGAGCTTCTCTCTTTATCTGGGTGAACCGCTGGTGTCTTTCTTAGAAGCTCAAGATTTTCGGCAACGGAGGCCAGTCCAGGTTTTGAACATCAAACAGAATATTTATTTCTCAAAGTCTTTGGCAGACTTGGCACAGCTTGTTGAAGTTACAAACAAAAAAAGTGAATTTGTGACACCATGTAGATGTTCTTTCCTTTCCTTTTCCTCCAACTGCTAAGTTAACTTTTCCCAATGGTAGAAAATTCTGGGACACTCTACCCTAACCCTGAGCCGCTACGGTAGACCCACTCTACATCCTGGTGCAGTTTGTGGGATGACGGGCCATGGATGATGGGACTTGCAGTACCTTCACTCACCTCCTGAGACAACTGCAACCCACACCAATGACTGATCAAGACCAAATTTGGCACACAGAGCCCCCATGGTCTACTCTACATCCTTGTGTGGTTTCTGGGACGACGGAATATTGACGATGGGACTTGAAGTACCTTCACTCACCTCCTGAAACAACTGCAACCCACACCAATGACTGATCAAGACCAAGCTTGGCACACAGAACACCCATGACTCACTCTACATCCTGGTGTGATTTGTGGGACAACAGGCCATGGACGATGGGACTTGCAGTACCTTCACTCACTTCCAGAGACCGCTGCAACCCACACCAATGACCGATCAAGACCAAACTTGGCACACAGAACATCCATGTCCCACTCTACATCCTGGTGCAGTTGGTGGGATGACGGGCCATGGATGATGGCACTAGCAGTACCTTCACTCATTTCCAGAGACCGCTGCAACCCACACCAAAGACTGATCAAGGCCAAATTTGACACACAGAGCCCCCATGGCATACTCTACATCCTGGTGTGGTTTGTGGGACGACGGGCCATGGACGATGGGACTTGCAGTACCTTCACTCACTTCCAGAGACCGCTGCAACCCACACCAATTACTGATCAAGACCAAGCTTGGCACACAGAACACCCATGACTCACTCTACATCCTGGTGCAGTTTGTGGGATGACGGGCCATGGACGATGGGACTTGCAGTACCTTCACTCACTTCCAGAGACTGCTGCAACCCACACCAATGACCGATCAAGACCAAGCTTGGCACACAGAACACCCATGACTCACTCTACATCCTGGTGCAGTTTGTGGGATGACGGACCATGGATGATGGGAGTTGCAGTACCTTCACTCATTTCCAGAGGCAACTGCAACCCACACCAATGACTGATCGAGACCAAACTTGGCACACAGAGCCCCATGACCCATTCTACATCCTGGGGCGGTTTGGGTGACGATGGACCATGGACGATGAGACTTGCATATGGGAGTTGTAGTTCACTCGCACCCACTGAACCCACCCGACATTGGATATATAGTAAAATTGGAGCACAGACTAACAATGCCTTTCTCAAAAAAAAAAAAACGGGCACCACCGGGTCACCAAGCTAGTAAATAATAATAATAATAATAATAATAATAATAATAATAATAATAATAAACCTTTGTTTATGTACGGCTCCCCGAGGGGACTCAGGGTGGTTTCCAGCATGGTAAGCATTGCACTTACCAACATAAGAACATACAAAAAACATTATAATACAAAAATTATTATAAACATATAAACATACTATATAACAATCACAAGTATTTAAATTAAAACCAATCCGATACTCATTACATTAGGCAGCTCAGCTTCCAATGGCTAAGATTCCAAAGTGGGCCTTGACAACTATGAGAGGGCTAGGTTGGCACAACGGAGTAGACTAGGGCCAAGGAGTGGGTAAAGTGCAAGCTTGGCCTACCTGCTGATCAAGATGTATATGTATATATGTTTAATGGTTTAAATATATTTATATGTCTATTAAAAAATATAGTTTGTATATTGAGGCATTAAATTTTTGCCCAGATGTATGTTGTACGTTGCTCTGAGAAAAAGCAGAATATAAATAAACATAAATATAGTAATAATCTATATAAATAAAAATATAATGTTCATTTCTGGGATTAACATAACTCAAAAACCACTGGATGAATTGACACCAAATTTGGACAGCATACACCTAGCAACCCAATGTATGTCCTTCACTCAAAAAAATAGATTTTGTCATTTGGGAGTTGTAGTTGCTGGGATTTATAGTTCACCTACAATCAAAGAGCATTCTGAACCCCACCTACGATGGAATTGAACCAAACCTGGCACACAGTTCTCCCATGACCAAATACTGGAAGGGTTTGGTAGGCAGTACCCTTTGGTTTTGGAGCTGTAGTTCACCTACATCCAGAGATCACTTTGGACTCAAACAATGATGGATCTGGACTCTACACAAATACTCACTATGCCCAAATGTGAACGCTGGTGGAGTTTGGGGGAAATAGAATCTTGACATTTGGGAGTTGTAGTTGCTGGGATTTGTAGCTCACCTACAATCACAGAGCATTCTGAACCCTACCAACAATAGAATTGGGCCAAACTTTCCACACAGAACCCCCATGACCACCAAAATGGGCCACAGCAACGCATGGCAGGGGACGGCTAGTCAATTTAAATAAAAATGTAATGTTTGTTTGTGGGATTAACATAACTCAAAAACCACTGGAGGAATTGACACCAAATTTGGACGCAAAACATCAGGCCAACAAGTGACCATCACTCATAAAAACACTGAAAAACATAGCAGAAAGGACTTAAAACCAGAAAATAAAAATATACATTACAACACATGTGCATAACCACATATATACACATATACACAAATATATACACAAACAAAACACATATTCACAGACATCATCCCCAGCAACGCATGGCAGGGGATGGCGAGTAGTAGTAGTAGTAATAATAATAATAATAATAATAATAATAATAATAATAATAATTCCTTTTTTGCTTTATAGCTGGTGGTTCCTACTTCATGATCTCAAGATCGTTGGGCCCTGAATTTGGTGGAGCCGTGGGGCTGTGTTTTTACCTTGGGACCACATTTGCAGGCGCCATGTACATCCTCGGTGCCATTGAAATTCTCCTAGTAAGTGCTTTTTAAAGATGTATTCATCCCCATAGGAGCTTGTCTGAATACTATGGAATTGAGGGAGCTGTAGTTTAACAAGGTGCTAGCACTCTTTGGTAGAGTAGGCTAAAGACCTTATAAAATCATGTTTCTCTAGCATTGAGCCTAGCAGTCAAAGTGGTGCCAAACTTTTACAGTGTAGATGCATCCCAAAGCAGAATAGAGTGGTACTGCTATTTCCCTTGATTTGGACACTAGACTTGTGTGTGGATCTGTTTTCCTTCGGTGCCTTCGGTACCACATAACGTTAAGGGCTCTCACCGCACGAAAACCCGCCCGTAGCGAATAATGTAATGTTAAGGGCTCTCCCGGCACGAAAACCTGCCCGCAGCGAAAAAGAAGCCGGTCTTCTCCTCCTCTGCTTTTTGGCATCGGAGTTTAAGCCCAGGGAGGATAGTTCTAGGTCAGTGTTTCTCAACCTTCCCTTAAGACAGTTCCTCATGTTGTGGTGACCCCCAACCATAACATTATTTTTGTTGCTACTTCACAACTGTAATTTTGCTTCTGTTATGAATTGTGATGTAAATAACTGATATACAGGGTGCATTTTCATTCACTGGACCAAATTTGGCACAAGTACCCAATATGCCCAATTTTCAATACTGGTGGGGTTGAGAGGGAATTGATTTTGTCATTTGGGAGTTGTAGTTGCTGTGATTTACAGTTCACCTACAATAGAAGAGCATTCTGAACTCCACCAACAATGGAATTGAACCAAACTTGGCACACAGAACTCCCATGGCCCTCAGAAAATACTGCAAGGGTTTGGTGGGCATTGATCTTGAGTTTTGAAGTTGTAGTTCACCTACACCCAGAGAGCACTATGGACTCAAACAATGATGGACCAAACTTGGCACAAATACTCAAAATGCCCAAATGTGGTGGAGTTTGGGGAAAATAGACCTTGGCATTTAGGAGTTGTAGTTGCTGGGATTTATAGTTCACCCACAATTAAATAGCATTCTGAACTCCAACGATGGAATTGAATCAAACTTGGCACACAGAACTCCCATGACCAACAGAAAATACTGGAAGGGTTTGATGGACATTGACCTTGAGTTTGGGAGTTGTAGTTCACTGTGGACTCAAACAATGATGGTCTGGACTGAGCATGGCACAAATACTCAATATGCCCAAATATGAACACTGGTGGAGTTTGGGGAAAATAGATCTTGACATTTAGGAGTTGTAGTTCCTGGGATTCATAGTTCACCTACAATCAAAGAGTATTCTGAACCCCACCAACAATAGAATTGGGCCAGACTTTCCACACAGAACCCCCATGACCAACAGAAATACTGTGTTTTCTGATGGTCTCTGGTGACCCCTCTGACACCCACCAGGGGTCCCGTCCCCCAGGTTGAGAAATGCTGTCCTAAGGCAAAGTCCTTCTCTTTTTCAGACGTACATCGCTCCCCAGGCTGCCATTTTCCACCCGACTGGGGCCCACGATACTTCCAGTGCCACGCTCAACAACATGCGCGTCTACGGCACCTTGTTCCTCACCTTCATGGCCGTGGTGGTCTTCGTCGGTGTGAAATACGTGAACAAATTTGCCTCTCTGTTCTTAGCCTGTGTCATTATCTCCATCTTGTCCATCTATGCCGGGGCCATCAAGTCTGTCTTTGACCCTCCCGCCTTTCCGTAAGTTGTGGTCCATAAAAGCTCCTCGGTTGTCTTTTAAGCTGGAGTTATTTTCCCTGTGGGATCAAGCAATGGCACTGAAATGTGCTCTTTGGAAATAGGAGAGAGAGGGAAGGAAGAATGGAGACAATTAACACAAAGCTGGAGACTCTTAGGAGCAAAGCTTGAAGGGATGAACTCAAAGGAAAAACAGAAAACTGGGTATTTAAGGAATGGAGAGAAATGACACAAAATGTATTTGTGGGAACGGTTTTATAGACCAGAGCAAAAGAATCCATCACCTAATATTTATTTATTTACTTATATATTTACAGTATTTATATTCCGCCCTTCTCACCCCGCAGGGCGGATTACAATGTACATATACATAGCAAACATTCAATGCCACATAGACACAACATAGATAGACAGACACAGAGGCAATTTAAAATTCCAGCCTTTCATGAGGGTATTCTGGCCACCAGGGGAGCTGTCCCTTCACCGACCATTTGTGACACAAATGAAGTACTTCCTCATTCTTTGCATGCTTGCTGGAGGTTTTTATGGCCTCGTAAATTAGTTAAATTTGCCTCCCCGCATAAGCGGTAGGTAAATATCCTACTTGACAGATTTATTTATTTCGTAATAAATCCAGTTCGAATCCGGGGAGAGGTGGATGAGCTCCCTCTGTCAGCTCCAGCTCCCCATGCAGGGACATGAGAGAAGCCTCCCACAAGGATGATAAAAACATCAAATCATCCAGGCGTCCCCTGGGCAACGTCCTTGCAGACGGCCAATTCTCTCACACCAGAAGCAACTTGCAGTTTCTCAAGTTGCTCCTGACACAACAAAAAAAATTATTTCGTATCCATCTGAACATTAGGAAGAACTTCCTGACTGTGAGAGCCGTTCAGCAGTGGAACTCTCTGTCCTGGAGTGTGATGGAGGTTCCTTCTTCGGAAACTTTTAAACAGAGGATGGATGGCCATCTGTCGGGAGCGCTTTGAATGCAATTTTCCTGCTTCTTGGCAGGGGGTTGGACTGGATGACCTATGAGGTCTCTTCCAACTCTATGATTCTATGATTTTTGCTTTCGGAGGAGCAAAAAGATAGAAGTGCTTGTGAGTTTCTGTACAAAATACAACCTATTTTCACAAACCATCCTCTTTTCCTCCCCAGGGTTTGTATGTTGGGTAATCGGACTCTTTCAAGGGACCAGTTTGATATCTGTGCCAAAACAACGGTTGTGGACAACCTCACTGTGCCCACCAACCTGACCGAGCTCTTCTGCCCAGGCTTCAACATCACTTCTGGATTATGTGACGACTACTTCCGGTTCAATAATGTGACTGAAATTGTTGGAATTCCTGGAGCAGCAAGTAGGATTCTGAAAGGTATGACCAGCAAGGCATGGCTTTGGGTTGTTATAGATTTTTCCGGGCTATATGACCATGTTCTAGAGGCATTCTCTCCTGACGTTTCGCCTGCATCTATGGCAAGCATCCTCAGAGGTAGTGAGGATGGCTTGGCTTTGTTTCAAGGTGGGTTTCAACCTTGCTAAAACACATAATCATTTAAAAACACTCCATATAATACACATATTAAAACATATATGTGTTTGAACAAGGCTGTCCCCTTTCAGCTTTCTTTTCTCCAAGTCACATTTGGTTCAATTCCATCATTGGTGGAGTTCAGAATGCTCTTTGATTGTAGGTGAACTATAAATTCCAGTAACTACAACTCCCAAATATGAATGTCTATTTTCCCCAAACTCCATCTGTGTTCATATTTGGGCATATTGAATATTTGTGCCAAGTTTGGTCCAGGTCCATCATTGTTTGAGTTTGGATGTAGGTGAACTACAGCTCCCAAACCCTTCCGGTGTTTTCTGTTGGTCATGGGAGTCCTGTATGCTATGTTTGGTTCAATTCCATCATTGGTGGAGTTCAGAATGCTCTTTGATTGTAGGTGAACTATAAATCCCAGCAACAACAACTCCCAAATGACAAAATTGATGTTTTTTGAGTGATGGTCACTCCTTGGGTTAGTGGCCAAATTTGGCGGCAATTCGTCCAGTGGTTTTTGAGTTATGTTAATCCCACAAATGAACATTACATTTTTATTTATATAGACTAGCCGTCCCCTGCCACACGTTGCTATGGCCCACATGGGGGTTCTGTGTGGGAGGTTTGGTCCAATTCTGTCGTTGGTGGGATTCAGAATGCTCTGTGATTGTAGATAAACTATAAATCCCAGCAACTACAACTCTGGAATGTCAAGATTCTATTTTCCCCAAACTCTACTAGTGTTCACATTTGGGCATATTTGAGTATCCGTGTAGAGTTTGGTCCAGATCCATCATTGTTTGAGTCCACAGTGATCTCTGGATGTAGGTGAACTACAACTCCAAAACCAAAGGACACTGCCCACCAAACCCTTCCAGTATTTTCTGTTGGTCATGGGAGAACTGTGTGCCAAGTTTGGTTCAATTCCATCATTGGTGGAGCCCAGAAGGCTCTTTGATTGTAGGTGAACTATAAATCCCAGCAGCAACAACTCCCAAATGACAAAATCAATGTTTTTTGAGTGACGGTCACTCCTTGGGATAGTCGGTATCTTGTGGCCAAATTTGACGGCAATTCGTCCAGTGGTTTTTGAGTTATGTTAAACCCACAAACGAACATTACATTTTTATTTATATAGATTGATGGAAAATCCGCGAAACAGCGAGTTCACATAAAGCGAACCATGAAGTAGCGAGGGAACACTGTAGTCCTATTCTAGAGGAGGTCTCACCAAAGCAGAATAGCATGGGCTGTTGAATTCCCTCAGTCTCAACAGTAAATTGATTGTGCCGTCGCACCTGGGGTCTATAGATCTTGGTGAAAGAAACATGGATGTGACATCTTTCCCCAGGGGATTGCTTTTTGCCCTCCTTTAGGAAACTGGAACTCCCAAGTACCAAGACACAACAGATAACTCGAAATGGTGTTTATTATTTTATTTATTTATTTGACTTGTATACCGCCACTCCCAATTTGGCTCGGAGCGGTTTACAGCAGTAGATTAAAACAATACAACCAACTTTAAAATACAATAAAAACGAGAACTGACATAGTCCCGAGTTATTCACCCATCGAAAGCTTGTTGGAAAAGAAAGGTTTTACAGGCCTTCCGAAAAGTAAGTAGCTCTCAGATGGTTCGGGTTTCAACTTGCAAGGCATTCCATAAATAAGGGGCCACAATCGAGAAGGCTTTCTGCCTAGTAGATGATAAGTCCGGATGTTGGGGACTTCAAGCAAATTTTGGTCCTCGGACCGAAGTAATCTCTGGGGTTGGTAGGCGGATAAGCGGGCCCTTAGGTACGCCGTCCCCAGACCATATAAGGCCTTAAAGGTTCATGATGAGTTATCTTTCTTAGGCATAAACTTGATGTTTCAACAGGGATAAAGCAAATATACGTTACAGTCTCTGAAGTCTTTGGTCCAAGGAGTTTGCAGCTGAGAAGCTTTCCAAGTTCCCTCTTTCTCAATGGCTGTGAATGCCTGAACATGCACAACCCCAGTCCAAATGGCCTATATTTGAAAGCACAAAGTCTTCCTCTGGTGCCAAAGGACTGGTCTGAAGGCGCTTGAGACTCCTCAACATCGTCCAGGGAGATCTGGGCATGAAGTGTGTCTCAAGGGTAAAAACCTGAGAATTGGTGATGAGAGTTAGCCTAAACAAGGGCTTTAGAGCCAAATCTTTTTCATGTCCATCTATAAGGCAGTCTGATGGTAGAATGAAAAGAAAGCCCAGCCCTTTTCCCCAGGAAGGGGAGGAGCCAACAATTAAGCAGAGAAGGCAATTCAACAGATGCAAACAACATTGATAGAAAGCAGTAGATAGCCAAACAATTCAACTGTACAAGTGGGGCCTGACACGCCGTCACATTGATGCAGCCTAGAATCACATTGGCCGCATCACACTCTTGGCTCATGTTCAGATTGTGTTCTCCTAAGACTTTTAGATCCCGTTCACATGGACTGTTTTCAAACCAGGTTTTGCTTTGTCTGCATTTCATTTTTGTTGCCTCATCTTGTCTGCATCCCGTTCCCAGATAACATCTGGAGCAGTTACATGGAGAAGGGAGAGATCCTGGAGAAAGCGGGCCAACCGTCGGTGGATGTGGCCGGGCGCAAGGACAACCTCCACTTGTATGTTTATGCGGACATTGCAACCTCCTTCACGGTGCTGGTGGGCATCTTCTTCCCTTCTGTGACAGGTGAGGAGATACAGGGGGTGAATCTTCTCTGTCTGGTGGAGTTTAGAATTGCTTTCAATGTCTATGTTCTTTTTTTCAAGGGATCATGGCGGGCTCCAACCGATCTGGAGACCTCAAGGATGCCCAGAAGTCCATTCCTGTTGGAACTATCCTCGCCATTGCTACTACATCTCTAGTTTGTATCCTTTGTGTGTATTTGCGATATGGAGCCCCCGGAAGTGCAATGGGTTAAACCCTTGTGCCTGTAGGACCACGGACTAATAGGCTGGCGGTTCGAATCCAGGGAATGGGATGAGCTCTCGTCTCAGCTCTAGCTTCCCATGTGGGGACATGAGAGAAGCCTCCCACAGGATAGTAAAACATCAATCATCCAGACATACTCTTGGCAATGTACTTGCAGATGGCCAATCTGTCCCCCACTAGAAGTAACTTGTAGTTTCTCAAGTCGCTCCTTACATTAAAAAAAAATGGCAATATGTGGTTTAGGCAGATTGAAGATGGTCTTGTTCCATTTTAGATGGGTTCTCCAGCTAGTCTATAAAAGCCTAAACTTCCAGTTGGCCTGATAATGTGTATTGTGTCCAAATTTGGTGTCAATTCGTCCATTGGGTTTTGAGTTATGTTAATCCCACAAACAGACATTACATTTTTATTTATATAGACTAGCAATACCCTGCCACGCATTGCTGTGGACCTGTCTGGTGATCTGGGAAATAAAATAATGAGAAAGTGTTGGTTTCTAATATATGTAATTTCTTTCTGCTTGTGGGTAAACAGTATTTCTTGTTGTTTCTTTGTCAGTGTTGATGTGGAGATTGTCTGGTTTGTCTACTCTGTAACATGCAAGATATCATTGTCCTTCTTTAGGGGTCCCTTTCACATCTATGATACTATATTTTTGTGTGTGTGAGACTCATATATATATATATATCTATATCTATGGCTGGATGGCTCTTTGTCAGGAGGGCTTTGATTACGTATTCTTGCCTGGTAAAGGGAATTGGACTGGATGGCCTTAAGTATTTTCTGTTGCTCATGAGGGTTCTGTATGGGAAATTTGCCCCAATTATGTTGTTGGTGGGCTTCGGAATGCTCTTTGATTGTAACTATAACTCCCAAATGTCAAAGTCTATTTCCCCCAAACTCCATTTGTGTTCATATTTGGGCATATGGAATATTTATGCCAAGTTTGGTCCAGACCCATCATTGTTTCAATCCACAGTGCTCTCTGGATGTAGATGAACTACAACTCCCAAACTCAAGGTCAATGCCCACCAATCCCTTCCATTGTTTTCTGTTGGTCATGGGAGTTCTGTGTGCCACGTTTGGTTCAATTCCATTGTTGGTAGGGTTCAGAATGCTCTTTGATTGTAGGTGAACTATAAATCCCAGCAACTACAACTCCCAAATGTCAAGGTCTATTTCCCCCAAACTCCATCTGTGTTTGTATTTGGGTACATGGGATATTTGTGCCAAGTTTTATCAAAATCCTACATTGTTTGAGTCTACAGTGCTCTCTGAATGTAGGTGAACTACAACTCCCAAACTCAAGGTCAATGCCCACTAATCCCTTCCAGTGTTTTCTGTTGGTCATGGGAGAGCTGTGTGCCACGTTTGGTTCAATTCCATCGTTGGTGGAGTTCAGAATGTTCTTTGATTGTAGGTGAACTATAAATCCCAGCAACTACAACTCCCAAATCACAAAATAATTTTTTTTTTGAGTGAAGGACATGCATTGGATTGTTGGGTGTCTCGTGTCCAAATTTTGTGTCAATTCGTCCAGTGGGTTTTGAGTTCTGTTAATCCCACAAACGAACATTACATTTTTATTTATATAGATTACTAGCTGTCCCCTGCCATGTGTTGCTGTGGCCCAGTATGTGCATATATTTTTGTATGCGTGTATATATGTGTGTGTGTGTATTTGCTCATGCGTTGCAATGTATTTTTTTTTAAAAAATGGCTTTTTAAGTCTTTTCTGCTGTGTTTTTCAGTGTTCTTATGGGTGATGGTCACTTGTTGGCCTGATATGTGTATTGTGTCCAAATTTTGTGTCAATTTGTTTAGTGGTTTTTGAGTTATGTTAATCCCACAAACAAACATTACATTTATCTATCTATCTACCGTATATACTCGAGTATAAGCCGACCCGAATATAAACCGAGGCACCTAATTTTACCACCAAAAAATGGGAAAACTTATTGACTCGAGTATAAGTCGAGGGTGAGAAATGCAGCAGCTACTGGTAACACAAAATAAATATAGATACCAATAAAATTACAATAATTGAGGAAACAGTAGGATAAATGTTTTTCAATGTTTACATAAAACTGTAATTTAAAATAAGACTGACCAACTTTGATTAAACCATTATTCTAACCTTCTTCAGTGTCAATGTGCTTACGTATCCTTCCAATAATAATAAAGTAAAATAATAAATGTATTAACAATAATAAAGTAAAATAATAAATGTAATAATAATAATAGAAATGAGTAGAGTAAAATAAATGAAATAAAATAATAATAGAGTAAAATAATGTAAATGTAATAATGCCAATAATAGAGTAAAATAATAAATGTAATAACAATAAAAATAAAGTAAAATAATAAATGTAATAGTAATAATAAACAGAGTAAAATAAATGTAATAAAATAATAATAGAGTAAAATAATGCAAATGTAATAATGCCAATAATAGAGTAAAATAATAAATGTAATAACAATAAAAATGAAGTATAATAATAGAGTAAAATAAATGTAATATAATAATAATAGAGTAAAATAATGTAAATGTAATAATACCAATAATAGAGTAAAATAATAAATGTAATAAAGATAATAGTAATAACAGAGTAAAATAATAAATAACTTTGATTCGAGTATAAGCCGAAGGCAGCTTTTTCAGCCTTAAAAAACTGGCAGAAAAACTAGGCTTATACTCGAGTATATACAGTATCTATCTATCTATCTATTTATCTCACTATGGGTTGAAAAAGGAAAAACAAAGAAGTCACTACATAGCAACAGACAAACCACAAACAGTTTCAAAAACTATAAAAGGATTTCCCCGTTTTTCTACTGGAAGTTTAGGCTTTTGTAGACTACCACCAATTTTATACAACTCTGATTGTAGGTCAGAGCTAATGTTCAAAACCCAGGAATGATATGTTTTTCACTTGTCCCATAAAAATATTCAGAATGCTTTCCAGCCCATCAAAAATATCTATTGTCTGCTCTCTTACCAACATAGTTAACGTACCCATTTCTGCCATTTGGGATGATGTTAATATCTTGGTGTCTACCGAAGGGAATCTCCATATTTTGTCACGTATAGCTTTCAAACTAGCTTCCTTAATCACTTCCAGATTTCAGTTGTGTGCTGCTGTTTGGCGCTTGCATTGAAAGTGTTGTTCTTAGAGACAAGTAAGTCAGCATCCTCTTAGTATTTCACTTGTATGTGTAAAAAAATGAAACGACCGGGATCCTGCATGTATGAGGGTTGAATAAAAAGTAATGCCTCCACTTTCGTAGCTCCTCAACAGATGGCAGTACTGGTATGCGGCAGGTACTGGCTTGTTCAGTAGACGCTCCTCTACAGTTCCATTTTACCAGGAAGCCTTAGCATCGAATGGTTGTGTTGTTAAAGTGCGAAGTATGGAACCCTGTGCAGACGGTCGGTCAATGCAACTTAAGCAACGTGCAGTCATTGAATTCTTGACAGCAGATTGTTTCACCTGAACATCTTTAAACTTACTCGCCTGATGATGCACAGTACTCACGTCAACACAAATCACCATAAACAGCTTGCATTCTCTGAGGAATCTCCTTTGGGGTGACACCTTCTGCTGTCAAGAATTCAATGACTGCATGTTGCATTATACTGACAGTTAATTGTGTAACGGCATTGAATATTTGCTACATATGTATTCTGTAATCCGCTCTGAGTCCCCTTGGGGAGATAGAGCAGAATATAAATAAAGTTTGTTGTTGTTGTTGTTGTTGTTGTTGTTGTTGTTGTCGTCAGGGAAGACTATGGCCCTGTAAAACTGCAATACTCAAGATTCCGTAGCATTGAGCCATGGCAATTAAACTGGTGTCAGACTGCATCTGTTCTACTGTGTGGAATAAAAATGACAACTCTTTCAAACTCGGTGCTTCCATTCTTCCTACAGATATGGTGATGCAGTGAACAAGAACTTAGTGGTGGGAACGCTGGCCTGGCCCTCGCCTTGGGTCATTGTGATCGGCTCATTTTTCTCAACCTGCGGGGCAGGTTTGCAGAGCCTCACGGGTGCCCCTCGGCTCCTTCAAGCCATCGCCAAGGACAACATCATCCCTTTCTTATGGGTAAGTACACGTGGAGACCACTTCCTTCAAAAAAGACCCGAGAGTTCTACTTTACATTGGTGTCAGAAAAGTATACAATTCATTGTCATTTATAATGGGACAAGGCCAGAAAAGAGAGCCAGCATTACGTAGGGCATAGCACTCCAAACTGTTTGCCGTGACACATTGTTGTGTCGTCTGCAACATGTAGGTGTGCAATACTCAAGTTTCACAAAAAGAGGGGAAACCTCTTTTTGTGAAATAAGCAATATATATTTAAAACAATCAGTAGACGGTTTTGATGAGATACTCAATTAATCTTTGAAGGGCACTATTGTTGTTGTTGTTGTTCATTCGTTCAGTCGTCTCCGACTCTTCGTGACCTCATGGACCAGCCCACGCCAGAGCTCCCTTTCGGCCGTCACCACCCCCAGCTCCTTCAAGGTCAGTCCAGTCACTTCAAGGATGCCATCCATCCATCTTGCCTTTGGTCGGCCCCTCTTCCTTTTGCCTTCCACTTTCCCCAGCATAATGGTCTTTTCTAGGCTTTGCTGTCTCCTCATGATGTGGCCAACGGACTTCAACTTTGTCTCTAGTCTCCTTCCCTCCAATGAGCAGCCGGGCTTTCTTTCCTGGAGGATGGACTGGTTGGATCTTCTTGCAGTCCAAGGCACTCTCAGAACTTTCCTCCAACACCACAGCTCAAAAGCATCTCTCTTCCTTCACTCAGCCTTCCCTAAGGTCCAGCTCTCATATCCGTAGGTTACTACAGGGAATACCAAGGCTTTGACTAGGCGGATCTTTGTTGCCAGTGTGATGTCTCTACTCTTTACTATTTTATCGAGACTGGACATTGCTCTCCTCCCAGGAAGGAAGCGTCTTCTGATTTCCTGGCTACAGTCTGCATCTGCACTCATCTTTGCGCCTAGAAATACAAAGTCTGTCACGGCTTCCACATTTTCTCCCTCTATTTTCCAGTTGTCAATCATTCTTGTTGCCATCATCTTGGTTTTTTTGACGTTTAGCTGCAACCCAGCTTTTGCGCTTTCTTCTTTCACCTTGATTAGAAGGCTCCTCAGCTCCTCCTCGCTTTCGGCCATCAGAGTGGTGTCATCTGCATATCTGAGGTTGTTAATGTTTCTTCCAGCAATCTTAACCCCAGCCTTGCATTCATCAAGCCCCGCACTATGGAAGGCACTAAATTGTTGCTATCGGGAGCAGAGAAATCTTCCTGGCCGGTCACGCCACCACCTTCAATCCCCCGTCCTTATTTTTAAATGCTCCCCTAAACTGTTTTCAGTGGTTAATCATGAAATGGTTTAAATGAACGGATTTTGTTCCTTCACCCACATTTGCAGGTCTTTGGCCACGGGAAGGCAAACGGAGAGCCAACATGGGCACTTTTGCTGACAGCACTGATTGCCGAATTTGGCATCCTGATCGCTTCCCTGGACATGGTGGCTCCCATCCTATCAATGTGAGTTTGGGGTTCTTCTCATAGTAGAGAGGTTCCTGCATCAGGGAACAAAGCATGCAAGACCTGATTGATTGTAGGTGAACTATAAATCCCAGTAACTACAACTCCCAAATGTCAAGGTCTGTTTTCCCCAAACTCCATCTGTGTTCATATTTGGGCATATGGAATATTCATGCCAAGTTTGATCCAGATCAATCATTGTTTGAGTCCACAGTGCTCTGTGTGTAGGTGAACTACAACTCCCAAACTCAAGGTCAATGCCCACCAAATACTTCTAGTGTTTTCTGTTGGTCATGGAAGTCTTGTGTGCCAAGTTTGGTTCAGAATGCTCTTTGATTGTAAGTAAACTACAAATCCCAGCAACTACAACTCCCAAATGACAAAATCATTTTTTGAGTGATGGTCACTCCTTGGGTTAGTGGGTGTCTTGTGGCCAAATTTGGCAGCAATTCATCCAGTGGTTTTTGAGTTATGTTAATCCCACAAACGAACATTACATACCCTCAGTTCTTGTGGGTTTTTTTGGGCTATATGGCCATGTTCTAGAAGCATTTCTCCTGACGTTTCGCCTGCATCTGTGGCAAGCTTCCTCAGAGGTGAGGTCTGCTGGAGCTGGGAAAAAAGGGGTTTATATATCTGTGGAATGACCAGGGTGAGACAAAGGGCTTTTGTAAGTTGGGCTAGGTGTGAATCTTTCAACTGACCACCTTGATTAGCATACAATGGGCTGACTGTGCCTGGAGCAAACTCTTCTTGAAAGGTGATTAGATGTCCCTGCCTGTTTTTCTCCCTGCTGTTTTTGCTGTTGCAATTTTAGAATTTTTTAATACTGGTAGGCAAAACAGCAGGGAGAAAAGCAGGCAGGGACATCTAATCACCTTTCAAGAAGAGTTTGCTCCAGGCACAGTCAGCCCATTGTATGCTAATCAAGGTGGTCAGTTGAAAGATCCACACCCAGCCCAACTTACAAAAGCCTTTTGTCTCACCCAGCTCCAGCAGACCTCACCTCTGAGGAAGCTTGCCATAGATGCAGGCGAAACGTCAGGAGAAATGCTTCTAGAACAGGGCCATATAGCCCGAAAAAACCCACAAGAATTGAGTGATTCCAGCCATGAAAGCCTTCGACAATACAGTGAACATTACATATTTATTTATATAGATTGATTTTACTATGATCATATATTATATGTTAATGCTTAAAATTTTTAAATGTTTGATGTTGTTGGGCACTGAATCTTGCCTCTGTAAATGGCCTTCTGAGAGAGGCTGAGAAAGGCGGTATACAAATATAGTAAATGAATAAATAAATATATTTATGACCTTCCCGCTGAAGGTCTCACATTTGTTTTCAAACTGCTAGGTCGGCAGGAGCTAGGGCTTACAGTGGGAGTTCACCTCGACCCACAGCTTTGAACTAACCTTCAGGTCAGCAGTTCAGCAGCACAAGGATTTAACCCATTGCGCCAGCCACAGCCCCTCAAACAGGGGTCCATAACACTTCACACTCTGCTCGCTAATGAGCTGATGCTCAGCTTTTGTATCCTGTTTGTTTTTGGGTGCTCTGCTGTATTTTAGGATAGTTTTCACTAACACTTCTTGCGATCTCTTATTCCCAAACCAGGTTCTTCTTGATGTGTTACCTGTTTGTCAACTTGGCCTGTGCAGTGCAAACACTCCTCAGAACTCCAAACTGGCGGCCCAGGTTTAAGTACTACCACTGGTAAGTTTTGTCTCACATGTTTGCCTTCAAAGAGGAGCAGGCTAACTAGCCCCAGGCTTTCAGGAGCGACTGCGTGACCTAAAAAAACACCAAGGACAGCCTGTTCATGGCATGCACCGTCATGCATGTCTATCCATGCAAAACCATTAGGATTGTGCTTGTACTTGACTGGCAAACATATTTTCTTTAGAATCTACTAAAGCGGCTGAAGGGGAAAAGGACGGGCCCTGAGGCTGTTAGGAATTGTGGGAGTTGAAGTCCAGAATACCTGGAGGGCCCAAGTTTGCCCATGCTTGAAATAGACTGTCACAGATACAAACAACAACTGAAAAATTCTATGATTGCCTCCAACTGCTGTTGGTGATGGAGTATAAACACGTGACAAAACATTCATGTGTATGTGAAACCTGCCCCTTTCTGCGTGTTGACCTTTGCATTTTCTTCTTCCGCAGGGCCTTGTCCTTTTTAGGTATGAGTATCTGCCTGGCATTGATGTTCATCTCTTCCTGGTATTACGCGTTGGTGGCAATGCTTATTGCAGGAATGATTTACAAATACATTGAATACCAGGGGTAAGTTGCTAGTGACGAGAGTAACCCAGTGTTTTGAGTGGAAGCACTTGTGAATGCACCCTGAAAAGAAATATATAAACAAAACAAACAAATCTTCAGGCGGAGGGGAGTGCTTTTATTTTATCATCTCACCGCTTGCCACCATTTGAAACAAAAGCACAGAGAGATCTCTAACCGAGAGATTGAGGAAGAGAGAGCTTGCGTTGTTGTAGGTTTTTTCAAGCTATATGGCCATGTTCTAGAGGCAATTTTTTTCCTGATGTTTCGCCTGCATCTATGGCAAGCATCCTCAGAGGTAGTGAGAGCTTGTTTGAAGATGAAATAGTAACTCAGTTTAATTGTATCATTCTTTTGGGATAAGCGTAGTGGTTACATTCCTTGCTGCTTACAGAACAACCAAGTTCTCAAGTAACTCAGTTTATTTGTATCATTCTTCTGGTATAAGCGTAGTGGTTACATAGGATCAAATGCTTGCTGCTTACAGAACAACCAAGTTCTCAAGTAACTCAGTTTATTTGTATCATTCTTCTGGTATAAGCGTAATGGTTACATAGGATCAAATGCTTGCTGCTTACAGAACGTTTCAATATGAGTTTCTCTCAATCCACTCTTTTCTTCCAAAAGGACTGTTATGCGAATACATAAGAACAGGTTTCCAATTATCTTTAACTTGTTCCTTTAACTAATTTTCCAGTTGCTTCTCAGCTACTTCCTTCCAGATCCTAACTCACTGACCAACACTCATAGACTGTTTCCAGCTGACTCATTAGCTGCCATAGAATGTTCAGTTGGGCTTTTCCAACTGGCATCATTGCCTCTGCAAGAAGACAATGGATTCCCACCAATACAAAAAACACAAATCCACTAAAAGTTGTGGTACATAAATCACAATGGTCGATATTGCCTAACAGTTTGTATATTACAATATTCAACAAACGGCAAAATTAAATGGTATAGGCATAACCCAGTATATAATGAACAACAACCAGTTGTTTACAAAGATTACACATACATAACATAAAGAGTCTTTTGGTGTAAAGACAACTTGTCTTCAGGGCATAAGATCCCTTGCTTAAGAGTAAGCGTACTGTAAAGAGTCTTTCTTGGTGTAAAACCAACTTCTCTTCAGGGCATAGGATCCCTTGCTTTAGAAAATTTTTGGGCTCTAGATTAGGAGCTGGCTAGCAACTGGAGCTAAACCAGGCCTCCTACTAAATGCTGTCTACCCTTCATTTACCAACCAAAACCCCAAAACGATAACTGAGAGAATGGAACTTGCTAGCAGGGTCCTTTAGAAGACACTGATGCATAATCTTTCACTTTTTGAAGTGGTCTTTGGACATCTTGTATTGTTGCTGTGGACTTTCAAGTCATTTGTGACTTATGACAATCTGGAGATGAATCTGTCATGAAGTTTTCTTGGCAAGACTTGAATAAGTGGGGGGTTTCCCATCACTTTCCCTCGTTTTGGAGAAAGTGCGACTTTACACCAAGAAAGACTCTTTACAGTACGCTTACTCTTAAGCAAGGGATCTTATGCCCTGAAGACAAGTTGTCTTTACACCAAAAGACTCTTTATGTTATGTATGTGTAATCTTTGTAAACAACTGGTTGTTGTTCATTATATACTGGGTTATGCCTATACCATTTAATTTTGCCGTTTGTTGAATATTGTAATATACAAACTGTTAGGCAATATCGACCATTGTGATTTATGTACCACAACTTTTAGTGGATTTGTGTTTTTTTTTATCATTGCCTCTGCCCCTCTTTCAAATTTTGGCACTCGCTCATTTGCATATGACCAATCAGGTCGCTCGCATGCAAATAGCTTCCCCACTGGTGCTTTTGTTCTCTGGGCACCACAAAATGGCTGCTCACACGCGTCCTTTAAGGTAGATCACTTCCTAACTTTCTAAAATGAGTCAGGTTCATTACACACCCATACAACAACAATAACAACAACAAACAACTTTATTTATATTTCACCCTATCTCCCCAAGGGGACATAGGGCAGATTATTGTATACATATACAGCAAACATTCAGTGCCGCTATACAATTAACAAAGACAGACAATACATAAACAGAGCTAAAGGCTTCCCATCTTTTACCCTCTCTGGCATCTGGAGGCTGTGCTCGACTCTGGCCACAGGGGGGTGCTGTCGCTCCATGTTCCATGCCAAGGAGCTTTGTTGTCTTTAGATGTCTCGGCTTATATTCGGGTCAACTTATACTCAAATCTATACGGTAATTGGTGTGTTGTTTCTCTGGGAAAGGGGGAGATAGAGACCTCTCAACTAATTGAGTCTTGCCATTCTATTTTGCAGGGCAGAGAAGGAATGGGGTGATGGGATCCGGGGCCTGTCGCTAAGCGCTGCCCGATACGCCTTGCTGAGACTGGAGGAAGGGCCTCCTCATACAAAGAACTGGAGGTAAGTTATGTTTTAGTTTCTAATATGGAGCTATTTTCCCAATGGAAATGCTTCCCATGGTGATTCTCATGTACGAGGGTTGAATGAAAAGTAATGCCTCCACCTTCGTAACCCCTCAACAGATAGCAGTACTGGTATGCGGCAGGTACTGGCTTGTTCAGTAGACTCTCCTCTACAGTTCCATTTTGGCGGGAAGCCATAGCATTGAATGGTTGTATTGTTAAAGTGTGAAGTATGGAACCCTGTGCAGACGGTCAGTCAATGCGACTTAGGCAACATGCAGTCATTGAATTCATTGAATTCTTGACAGCAGAAGGTGTCACCCTAAAGGAGATTCATCTGAGAATGCAAGCTGTTTTTGGTGATTGTGTTGATGTGAGTATTGTGCGCCGTTGGGCGAGTAAGTTTAAAGATGTTGAGGTGGGAACATCTGACTTGCGTGACAAACAAAAAGTTGGATGTCCTGTGACAGCAACCACTGAGTTTCACAAGCAAAAGGTTGACAAATTGAATCAGAATGATCGTCATATCACTCAGAGAGAAATTTCAAGCATAATCGGCATTTCACAAGAACATGTGGGTGACATTATTGCTTTGCTAGTCTATCAGAAGATCTGTGCACGATGGGTACACAGCAGAACTTCAGAGACTGGATCTCACCACCATATGGCACCCTCCGTACAGTCCAGATTTAGCACCATCCGACTTCCCTCTGTTCCTGATAATGAAAGAAGATCTGGTAGAGACATCATGGTGCTTCTGATGAAGATGTTGAGAAAACTCTGAGATGCTGGTTGCAGAAACAATGCCGACTTCTTCCGTGACGGCTTCAGAAAACTTGTTCATCATTGGCAGAAATGTATCCAATAGTCTGGTGATTATGTGGAAAAGTGAATAGTGGGAGTTAAAGAGCAGATTCTAAGGATTATTTCTGCGTTTGAGTTATTAAAATACTCCCATCCAAACCCAAGTAACGAAGGTGGAGGCATTACTTTTCATTCAATCCTCATAATTGTCTTCCCCAGCCAAGCTTGTAAGAAACAAAGCTTTTCTACAGGAGGGGAAAACTCACATGTCCTATAGTGGGGCTTCAAACTGTAAGATTGGACAAACTGTCCCCTTTTCCCTCCTGAACCTGGGGAAAAGGGCGGTTCCAAAAGCCCCAACCATGATAGGCAGGCTGCTAGCCTATGACTGCAGCCTGGGGGAAGCTGCTTAACTGCAAAATGCCTGGCTAACAGAAACACGTGCAAACTAACCTTGCATAGAAAAAGAAAATTTAGCTTCTGGCACAGCTGTGCCAGCACACCAATATTAAAAACTCTGGCATAGACACTGAGAACTGGGAGGCCTTGGCCCTTGAGTGCTCCAGTTGGAGGTCAGCTGTGAAGATGCACGAATAGAGGGAGAAAGAGAGAAACGTGCCAATAGGAAAGTGCATCAAGTCAACCCCGACTGGGACTGCCTTCCACTTGGAAACTGATGCCCTCACTGTGGGAGAAGATGCAGATCAAGAATAGGGCTCCACAGTCACC